AGATTCACCAGGCTAGATAGAAAAGCCTGTAGGATGGGACCATGACTGAACTAGATTCACGAGGCTAGATAGAAAAGCCTGTAGGATTGGTTCTGGGGCTGTGCAATCAGGGCGGTCAGGACATGACTCCTGATCCTGCACACCCTGGTATCAGATTTTACCTAGGGTATACTCCAGCAAGTCCCTAAGGAATCAGCCACCCCTCCCTGGATTGCCTAGGGAGGTGGTAGTAATTTCACTTTGTAACACACGCTGCTTTGAAGGCAATGTGAAATAGAACTCAATGGATACTGAATCCACGTGGTGACTCAAAATGGGTGTAGGGCTTTCACTGTAATCTGTAGCCTTCTGCAAGTGTAGTGCTTCACTGCAGAAAAGCCCATGTAGGCAAGTAGCCATCTTCAGAGCTACATTACCCAGAGATTACCACTGTTAATGTTTCACGGTGTGCCTCTGCCATACACCAAACCTGAGCCAAACCAATCCACTGATTTCAAGTAGATTCTGATTCCTGGAGGCCCTGCTTGTAAAAAAACAGCGCTTGATAGGTTTTTCGTGGCTGTAGTTTTTATGGAAGCAGGTCATCCAGGCCTTTCTTCCGCAATGCTATTAGGTAGGTTTGAACTGTTAATTGGTTAGTAGATGAGTGCCAGCCTTTTGTTCCACCCAGGGACCACAGACACACACTGAATTATAAATAGTCATGTAACTGGAAAATAAATCCCAGAATGCTCTTATATATACAAACACCCCCCTCCCGCAACACACACATACACACACACACACACACACACACACTTTTATATACAACACACTTACATATCCTATATTACATTGTAAAGGTCACAATTCCCTTTTTCTCTTAAGTTTATTGACTACTTCTTGGTAAATTGCCTATTGCTAGCCTTTGCTTATTTTAAAAGAAGTAAAATTTACCTAGGTATAATTTAGCTTAAGAAGACAAACTTGTGCTTCTTAGGTTTTGAGAAACATAGTCACGTAACCATTGTCAATGTACAGAAGTAGAAATCATGTCCCTTGTAGTCATATGTCCCTTTCACGCGGTTCGGCTCTTTCCAGAGTTCCAGACCCAGTGTCCTTTGTAACGAAATTACACCCCAGTAAAACCTTCCTGGGCCTGTGGGCACTTCTCCCTTACAAGGTTGTGTGGTGAGCCCCGGTGAAACAATAGCCGTGTGTGGTTGGTGGTGCCGAGTGGCTGGGCTGTGCTGACACCTGGAAGAGCTATCGTATTTTTCGGTGGCTTTCAGGTGGCACTCTCTTAAGTATCACCTCTGGGCCAAACATACCGGTTACTTTCCTTTTCGTTGCCCTAATTTTTGGTCCTGAAATTCGTATACTTCAGCTGAAGTCATCAAAGTCTTTTGGACATACAGCATGTAATGACCATTCTTGGATAATACTCAGTGCTGAAGCAGTCATTATAGTCTGCCTTTCCGACATCAGGAACTTTTTTTTGTAGTAAATACCCAGGTAGTTGGGAAAGATACTTCTGTATAGTTGGAGATTTCTTTAGTATTCTTTCTCATGAATTTCTAAACGTTGAAAGTGTGTGCATTGGAGTTTGAGAGAAATATACCTTGCTATATAATGGCAAAGTGCGTTTCAGTGGCTCTCCCCAGCCCTCATGAAGTAACTCTGAAATTTAAGAAGTAAAGCTTAGTGGGTACCACTGCTGTGGCCTTTCAAGCTCTTGCATTAATGATGAGTCTGCTTCTCTTCCCTAACACCACCCCCTCCCAACACACACACACTGTGACAAAGGGACAATGAACACAGGGGAATGTAATATAAGATGTCACACGGACAGTAAGAATTCCCTATTGTTTCTTTCCCCGTTAAATCATAATTCAGTTAGATGATTGTCCCTCCAGTTATTTTTTTCTATTCATAAGGCATATATATTTATATTTAAATATGTGCAGGAGCTTCAAAAAGTTTGAAAAAAATTGAATTAAAAGAGTAGATTTGTGGCATTGCCCCACAAACTTTCTCAGGGTGCTAATTTAGGGTTTATGTCATTGGAAGACTCTAATAAGCAATTTCTTTTCCCAGTATTCCTCCTGGTAGAAAGAATGGTGCGGTGTCCATGTAAGTGTGGAAACCAGACCTAGTGTGTAGCTCCCCTCTTTGGGCTTGGAGAGAGGGGTGCTCCAGCTGGCGTGGACTCCGCAGGTCTCACCTGCAGGCCTGGGGGTTCATGCTTGTGTTAGGGTCGTCACTGGCATTCAGACGTCACCTGCTGCTTGAGCTGATAGTCGCATCTTCCTGCTTGTGATTTTCAGGAAGCAGGAACAGGAGACAGCCACTGAGCTTGCTCATCATGCTGTGGGGCGGATGAGGAGGCGGTGCCACTTTAGAGGAGAGTCTATGTTCCTTTCTAAGGGACAGATCCAGGAATACGTGGGCCTTTTGTGTGTGTGTGTGTGTGTGTGTGTCGGGGGTGGGGGGGGGCCGGGGCAGTGGTGCATTTTTGAATACTCAGCCCCTGTCCCCGAGGGATCTCACTTGCACAGTTCTAGGAGCTCCCGCTTGGCTTGTGCCCTAGGCTGCCATGACCACAGACCCCGTTGTGAGTGATGCTACTGGAGTTGTGTGTTGCAGTAGAACTATAGCCATTTTATAATGTTAAGATTGGTAAAAGTGGGAGATAACTAGGTTTGTTATTGACAATGTCTCTCAGTCTGCGGTTGATAGAAAGTGCACCTTTGTGTTTCCAGCAGGGCCGGGCTGCCTGAGAATTGGGTGTACGTAGTGTAAATGTCAGGCCCCTCCTTTGCCTGGGCCCTTTCCACCACCTTGGCAGTGGTTCTAGCAAGTGTATATTTGTAGTTTGCCATCCTTTTCTCAAAGAGGGCCCCACATTGTGTGAGTTTCTAGCCCAGTGAATCTGGGTTTGCCCTTGGGCTCCCACTTAGGGGCGTGGGGGGGCTGGGTAGTAGAGGGCCTGTGAGATAGAGATCGCAATGTGCCAGCCCAGCAGTGACTTTCTTCCCGTCTTTGTATTTGTCAATCTGACTGGTTTTCAGATTCGTGTCTCCACAGAAATTTATTTCCTTAAGACTGCATATGATGTGCCTGGAGGCTGATGTGGGTGGGAGGGAGAGCACTTAGAAATGGCATAGAAAGTATCCCAGTCACAGTTCCAGTTCGATATCTCTAGGGCGCCTAGTTCCGCCCAGGTGTGATGAAGGACCCCGCAGATAGCACGTTTCTCTCCACATGGCAGCATTGTCCACGCCCTCATTGCTTCGCCCTTCCTCTGCCCACAGATTCGTGGTACAGATAAAAGCAATGGGAGGGAGTTGCACATTGCATATCGGTATGGGGAACACTATGACAGCGTTCGGAGGATCAATGATAACTCGGAAGCACCCGCACATCTGCAGACTGACGTGAGTGGGGTCTAGGTGTTCCTCTGTTTTCTTGCAGTTGAAACCAGTGATGGCTTCATGGAAATGAACTACCTTTAAGAAGCGGAGTGGAGACCCAAAGCCCATGAGTAGGCCATGGAGATCCCCTTGCAGAGGGGTCTCGGGGAGGAGATGAGCCAGTCAGGGTGCGATGTAGCAATGAGATGAAAAATACAACTTTCCTCTAGTTCTTAAATGCTTCCTCCCCGCTCCCACTACCATGACTCGAATTCGACCTTGCAAGTCTGGCTAGACCAGAGGATGTACACTGGTACAGATAGGAACTGGAAATACAGGGAATCCAGGGCGGATGAGCCCTACAGGACCAGTGGTGTGAGTGGCGATACTGGGAGGGTAGAGGGAGAGTGGGTTGGAAAGGGGGAACTGATTATAAGGATCTATATGTGACCTCCTCCCTGGGGGACGGACAACAGAAAAGTGGGTGAAGGGAGATGTCGGACAGGGCAAGATATGACAAAATAATAATTTATAAATTATCAAAGGCTCATGAGAGAAGGGGGAGCAGGGAGGGAGGGGAAAAATGAGGACCTAATGCCGGGGGCTTAAGTGGAGAGGAAATGTTTTGAGAATGATGAGGGCAATGAATGTACAAATGTACTTTACACAGTTGATGTATGTATGGATTGTGATGAGTTGTATGAGCCCCTAATAAAATGATTAAAAAAAAAAAAGCTGTGGGTTTAATATTTTTGTTTTCCTTACAGTGTAGGTGAGAGATAAACTTGCTTTCATTCTTGTGCTTTCTTTAATCACTGATAACTATGACCATATGAATATAATTATATAAAAATTTATATTGATCTTATACCTTAAGATTAATCCATACTGCTTACCTAGCATTTAAAACTATGAAAAAGGTAATTAAGGTAGTAAAAAAGACACAAAACTGGCTGCCTGTACACAGCTTTTCCCATTGTCTTCATAGACTGCCTTGCAGTACTTAATGCATTCAGAAAGGAACGGATTATGTTTCTTTAAATCATTTAACTCTCATAGGTAAGCCTTTTCGCACATTATTACACGCATATTGATAGAAATGTTTTGAAAGAATAACCAACCATATAAGGACAACAGGAAAGTGGGTGAAGGGAGACATTGGACAGTGTAAGATAGGACAAAATAGTAATTTATAAATTACCAAGGGTTCATGAGAGAGGGGGGAGGGGGTGATGCAGAGCTGATGCCGGGGGCTTAAGTGGAGAGCAAACGTTTTGAGAATGATGAGGGCAACGAGTGTACAAATGTGCTTTATACAATCCATGTATGTATGGATTGTGATGAGTTGTATGAGCCCCTAATAAAATGATTAAAAAAAGGAAAGATGCAGAGGGCAGCACCGGCTCAGGGATAAAGCTCAGAAGGCAGAAAGAGACAGGAAAGGAGGATGCAGGGAAAGGGTAAACATGACAAGTGGGACAATCGCTGTTCCAGAGCGGGGCCTGCAATTGATGTCACAAGACAGTGTGTGAAAAGTGTTGAATGGAAAGACCAGTCTTCTCTAAACTCTCACCCAAATCACAATAAAAGCAACCCATAGTGCACATACATAATGCTCTCTATAAGGAGCCCGAGTGGCGTAGTGGGTTACGCATTTGTCTGCTACCGGCAAGGTCAGTGGTTTGAAACCACTAGCTACACCGAGGGAAAGGAGGCTTTCTACTCCCATAAAAGGGTTAGTCTCAGAAACCCTATGTCTCATCGGGTCGCTGAGTAGCAATGACTTGATGGCAGTGTGTTTTTTTTTTCTTCAGGATTTCTTAAGTAGTTCTTGAACCTAATTCATATTTAACCTTAAATAAACTTGTACAATATTAAAAGAAAGTTGTGTTTTTTAAAAATAGGTACTGTTTCCCTAATGGTCAAAATTAAAAATGTGTAACCAGATGTATAGTAAAAAGCATTCCTGTTCCCCTCTCTGGAGGCATCCAGCATATCAGTGTATGGCAGGATCTTCTGGAGAGATTGTATATGTTGAACCAGATCTTGAAACTTATTCAAGTGATGTACACTTTATATATGAATCACCTCACACACGTGTATCGTGAAAAGCCGCACATGTAAGGGTATCTGCAAGATAGATTGTTAGAAGGGCGCTGTTGTATTAGAGTGTATCTGCCTGTCTAGTTTTTAAAGGTGTTGCCACATGGCTCTCGAGCATTTCCCATTTGACATCCCACCAGCAATGTGCGTCTTCTCCTGCACCTTTGCCAACAATGTACTGTCTGTTTTGTTGTTGCTTTAATCTTTGTCAGTGTTAGGACTAAACTGTTGGCTTAGCAGAGTTTAATTAGGGTTTTTCTGAAGTGCATGTGTACTTCGCTCCCTGTGCTTAAGGTCTACTTGTATTGTCTTTTTGGTCAGCTGGTTGCTGTGACTTGGAATCATTTCAGTGTCCACCAGCACCACCATTTTTTGTCTTTTGTTCATATTTTTCCCATTAACTTAATGATTTGTAGCAACTGTTCATGTAAGAGAAATTCGCCTCTGTGTTAGGACTTGGAATGTTTCTTCACAAGCTATCATTCTCCTGGTGGTGGTGGTTACTGGGAAAACATGTTAAGTTTCTATGTGGATGAGCTTATTATTACTTCCTTACATTTCTTCGGGGTTTTGGGTCATAATTGGTAAGCCCTTTCTCACTGTGAGGTTAACCCATAATGCTATGGTTTCATTTTTTTATAAAAAGTTAAATTTGAGATTTGTGTACTCATAGAGTATAAGATTTGGATCCAGCTTTACTTTGTGCCTGGTGGTTACCCAATTGTACCCAAATCATTTCGTAATGAACTCTCTTCTCCCCACTGATTAAAATGCCACTTCTTTTCCATATACCTAATTCCCATATGTATTTGGGTCTATTTCTAGATTTCTGGTACTGTTCCACTAGTCTCTCTGTTCACATGCTGATGCCTCATTATTTTAATTACTAAGAGTATGTGAAACATTTTACTCATCATTTCTTTTTTGTAATATCCTAGTTTCTATCTCTTTAAAAATAGAAACATTAGAATTAGTTCATCTGCTTAAAAAGAAATCCTGTTTGCTCTGTATTGCCATCTCAGTAAATTTATAGAGTAATCAAGGGAGAATTGATA